TGCTTATTGTATTTTTTCCGATTTTGCGATTTGTTTATACAATTAAAACTATTTTGACGGTTTAATATCCCGTTTTTTAGTTCAGCTTAAAACTGCTTTCAGACTACACTATAGTATAGCAAGCAGCCTATACTTATCCTATAATATATAGTACAATACAGTGTGAAAGTGTCCATAACAATGTATGGGTGTGCGATATTGTTGTTATATGAGCTATATACTATGTGCTATTTATTATATTATAGCGTAGTCTGAAAGCGGCTATATTGTCATTATATACTATTTTTTTATATGATTATAGCTATTATTGATTATAAATACGGGCATGCGTCCTGGAATTACCATTCTTGCAGCGTCCGCTAAGGAGCGTATTTTAGAAGAGATATTGGTGATAGGACCTCTTGTGAGTCCGCACGGGTAGGTATCACCACCCCGCCTATTTCTGCCGTGAAGCAAAAATGCGTTTCGGTTTGAGGGGTGGGGCAGCCGTTGTAACTATACTGAGACCTTAGAACTTATATCTCAAGGTGGGTGGCGCATTTACGTTGTATATGTCTATGGGCTCCAGTGACCACTTAACACCAGGTGGGCCGTGAGCTCGTCCACCAATCTAAGCAAAAAAAAATTACTTAAAACTGTTCAAAGTTGTGGGTTGTGTAGAAAGTTAGACTTTCCACAAGTAATGTATTCTTTTGACATTTCAATTATCTCTGGCGCTGAACGGATTGGCGCGCGTGTCTGTAGAACTTGATGGTATTGTAATTTTGTGGTGTTTTTACGGAACGTCGTGTTTGTTGTATTATTTTATGTATCCTTTATGTTTTCTTTTTATTAATTAATGTTATATGTATAGAAAGCGAGGAAATAATTGATATTATTATTATTTTTCAATTTTATAGATTGCGCCAATAATTCGATGTGATGAGTATCAGAGATTGGAATTCATGAATGTCTTCTCTGCATACGGCGGTCGCACTAACTCCAAATATTGTGTTGGAGCTAACAGCGTTATGTAAAATCAAAGAGTTTCAAATCGTGTTTAAATTCCATAGTCTGCGGCGATATCACTACATACTATAAAACCAAGTCGCTTTCTCTGTCCCTATATCCCTATGTATGCTTAAATCTTTAAAACTACGCAACGGATTTTGATGCAGTTTTTTTTAATAGATAGATTGATTCAAGAGGATGGTTTATATGTATAACAACATCCATTAAATAGTGGAGAAATCAATAATAAACTACAGTTTCACCACCATTACTTATCCGGTAATCGTAAATTAAGAGTAGTCTTCAGTAAATAAAGTCAGAGTAAAGAAAAATAGTTTTTTTAAAAAGGATCCACGGAGAACAATCCTAAGAGTACGTTCAAGCGACCCGAATGATCACCGATGTATGCAATGCTGTGCCGATCAATCGCGCACATTACCATACAATACAACGAGTTTATAAACCATCAATTTTTCCAACGGTCAAACAGGAATTCCTCAATTGATCGAATCATTAATCAACCACAATGCTAATGCCACAATTATCTGTTCAAAGTTGTCAATTTACAGGTCTTAAGTTGATTAGTTTATTACTTTTATTTATCATGGTGGTAGGACCTCTTGTGAGTCCGCGCGGGTAGGTACCACCACCCTGCCTATTTCTGCCGTGAAGCAGTAATGTGTTTCGGTCTGAAGGGTAGGGCAGCCGTTGTAACTATACTGAGATCTTAGAACTTATATCTCAAGGTGGGTGGCGCATTTACGTTGTAGATGTCTATGGGCTCCAGTAACCACTTAACACCTGGTGGGCTGTGAGCTCGTCCACCCATCTAACTAAGCAATAATAAAAAAAGGAATTATTTATTCAGTTCCGTAAATTATATTATTAGGTTACTTATTATTGACGTTAAATAGTACACAATAAATGAATATCATGCATATTTGAAAACGATAGAACAATATAAACAATTGTAAATGTTTTGTTGTGTTATTACGTGCGTATGAATATGTATAGTAAATATATGACGGTGTGTGTCGTTACGTAAGTGCGGAATAACATCAAGTAACATGTTCGTTGATTTATCTATAGTTTAGATTTAGTAGCAACATTTAATTTTTTTTATAGATGTTTCGCATCTCCTTAATTACATTATAAGCCTTTCCCAAAGTGGGCGATAGCGCCCCCTTTTGGGCGCTCCAGGTCTAAAGGGGGGCGGTAAGAGACCCAGACAAAAAATAGGGGCCGTTGTGTAGAGGTTTTAGAGGCGATTATTTAGAAGGATTTTAGACACCTACTGAGCTCTCGCTATAGTGGTTTTTAAGTAGGTGAGAAAATGGGGACGCTAAAAAATAATTTATTCTCAAAGTGGGCAGTACACAAAACAAGTTTGGGAACCCCTGTTATAAACAATCCTAATAAACGAGTTTTCATCACGCATTTTAGATGAGTTCCTGATATTTCGACGCTATGGCTATGAGTATGGTCGGTGGGGCAGGAGCTAGGTGTCTTGGGCATGACGTGGGAGGAGCTAGAACAGACTGCCCAAGACCGATGTAAATGGAAGGATTTGATCCGAGCCCTACACCCTCAGCAGAGGGTAATAGGAAAGAATTATGATGATAATGATGGTCATGAGTAGACTGCGATTGAAAACTGCGAGTCGGACATTAGGATCACACAAATTGGTCTACTTCTTTCTTGTCAATTCTTGGGCGTTCTTACGGAAAATTTAAGACCCACCGCTCTGGCAAACATACACATACGGTATCGACAATGTAAAAAAAAGTGATAAGTTTTTTTAAATTTTATTATTGCTTAGATGGATGGACGATCTCACAGTTTGGTATTAAGTGGTTATTGGAGCCCAAACACACCTACAACGTAAAAGCCGCCACCCACATTGAGATATGAGTTCTAAGGTCTCAGTGTAGTTACAACGGCTGCCCCACCCTTCAAACCGAAACGCATTACTGCTTCACGGCAGAAATAGGCCAAGTGGTGGTACCTACCCGTGCGGACTCACAAGAGGTCCTACCACCAGTAAAAGAATCCGTAAAACGATACTTTAACCGTGTATTATAGATAGCCGAAAAAGTTTAAAACAAATCGTTCCTATTGATCTCAATTAGGTAAATAAATATGAAAAAGTAAATAAGAGTCCTGGAAATTTTACATACTTGCTCACATCCAAAATCATCTTGTAAGATTGTTGTCAGGGCTTAAGCTCAACAAGTTAGCTTACGATTTTTCGGAAGATCTGTTACCACTTTAGTTTTTAATATTTTATATGGAATGTTGTGCCAATTACACGCTACTTTTAATACATATATTACTTACACACACATACAAACGTGCACAAGTTATAACTTACTCAGGAAACTAAAACATGTTATTAGTTAGTAGTGACTCTTATATTTTTAGTTATCAAGTCTCGTTATCTTTGAAGTTGTCATGATCAATGTATTTTTGTTGTGACTTTTCAATGTTCTTGTTGTGTATTACAGGAGCACATCAAAATGGATACATTTCTATTAACTTTCTGTCAAAGTATAAGTTATACGAACAAGTTAATATGTTAAATATTTAAAAAAAATTTATGTTCACCTTTCCTTACTTGCAGGACTTGCCGACAGAAAATAAAATTAGATTTAATATTAATAATGCAATTTATAATGCTTTTGACAATAATAACTGCATCTTGACATCCAAAAAATATGCATTTAAATTAATAGACTTAAATAATATAATAAAATTTAGATATTTAAGGACATCAAAAAATGAAATATTTAAATTAACGAATNCACCAGTGATTACGCAAATTATAATTTTTGCGGGTTTGATTTTTATTACACGATGTTATTCCTTCACCGTGGAAGTCAATCGTGAACATTTGTTGAGTACGTATTTCATTAGAAAAATTGGTACCCGCCTGCGGGATTCGAACACCGGTGCATCGCAACATACGAATGCACCGGACGTCTTATCCTTTAGGCCACGACGACTGTTTTATGTTCATGTATTTGTGATCAATCATAAAACAACTTCACATGATCAATGTATTTTTGTTGTAACTGTTCAATTTTGTTGTGGTGTATCACAGGAACACATCAAAATGGATACATCTCTATTAACTTTCTGTCAAAGTCTAAGTTATTCTAAGAATGTATTGAAAATCTATCTATAATTAAAATATTTACTGAAAAAAACAATGTGCTTACTAATTTATCAAAATTGCATCGTACAATTTCGTTGCTTTGTGAAATAATTCTGAGAACTGTTTTTTTTTAATACACAAATAATTGAATGAAAATCAACAAAAAAAATTTAATCTTTGTAAAAGGTAAACCAATTCATACGACGTGGAAAACACCAATAATATATAAATCAAACCCACATTCCGTGGTACATTAGTCACGATCACTAACCACTGAACCACAAAATTATTTATGCAGGATTGAAAAACCTGTTATTATTTCTTAAATTGAGATTAATATTATTCAAAGTTCAATACTATGAATACGGCATCAACATGGCATCGTGCTAATAACATTTAACAGGCAAAGAGCTACTGCGCGAAATGTCTTGACCTATGTCTTTTTTTATTATATGGTTAGGACGAGCTCACGATCTACTTGGATCTTAAGTTGTTTAAGGAAGTTCCGATCCATTAACGGTACTTTTATGTACCTCAAGCACCGGTCACCGTCCTCGTCGAGCCTGTCGCTTGTGACGAAGGGCTCGACGAGTAAATTAACCCACAGACACAGCCCATTGAGTTTCTCGGCGGATCTTCTTAGCGAGACGTGCTTCCGATCCGGTAGTAGATTCTGCGAAGCACTGCTCTTGCCAGGGCCAGTGTTAGCAACACACCCGGTTTGAGGCCCGTGAGCTCACCTACATACGTTAGGGTGAAGCTGAAATAGCCTCTCAAGGATATTAGCATAGGTAGGAAAAAAAAAGGAAGTTTAACTCTCAACAATATGCTCACGTATGGTAATATTGGAACTTACCTGCAATGGTATTCAGGAACATGAGGTACTCGAAGTTGGAGATCTCCCGTCGCTGCCACTTCTGCGTCATGTTTGAGTTGCGCATCAGCTGCCGCGGAGACATCATTGAGGCGCGTCTGTGGAAGGAATTACACAAAAATTCAATTAACTGCATCGCAGAGATGAAAATTTCAACCAATAACAAATTTAAAAGAACTAGTGTTCCCGCAGTTGTCGAAATTCGACTATAATTAATTAAAATTATAAGTTTGGACATTATTATGGTTCTATTGTCAAAGACTATTTATTATATTTCTATAGTCACAGATTTCACCAAGACTACACTATAGACAAATACTCGTAATATTACTAATATTACAGATAAAGAATATTAACCTATTCTCAATTTGAATACAGACTTTAAGCAATAACCAATAACAAAAGTTTGACAATAAACAAAGAGTATACATATATGTGTGTGTGTCAAAATACATGGTAGTGTGTGTAATGTTTTCTTTATTGATTTAATGTATTTTTAATGCATAATTTAATAAAAATATTAGCATTCTGCACTTCTTCTCTATATTCTCTATAAGTGTGGGAAATTTCATACTCCTCCGTCCGCGCAATTTTCGTAAAAAGGGGTACAAAGTTTTTGCTTCACGTATGATGAGTTAGTTTCGCATTGTATTATATTTAAAGGAAGGTATTGACAACGTAATGCACTCTGTGCAAGATTACGTGACACATTCAAGTTTTATTTATTTATCACAATAAATAAAATAACATTAATAAATAAATAATTGGGAACAAATCACGCACAATTATCCGACCCCGATTTAATATTCCCTGTGTTATTGCTACCAGAGACTGACAAAAATACGTATTTACGTTTAAATATATTCACATATAGATAATACACGCCCAGACAAAGAACAAACAAAATTGTAGTCACACGATAGTTTGCTTGATGTGGGAATCGAACCCACGACCTTCGGCGCATCAGTCAGATGCGCAGAACTATTGCACCACCGAGTCAGTCAAAATATATCGCTGGATGAACTTGTTCACGACACACCTATTGAAATGTGGTTACCGAAGCCTATGGATATCACAACGTCGATGGCGCCACCAAATGTGAGATATGAGTTTTTTTTTACCTAAGCATGAGCCTTGAGAGGCTATGTCAGCGTAGCCCTAACAAGTAGGCGAGCTCACGAGGTTCAAACCTGACGACGTTGCTAACACTAGCCCTAGCAAGAGCAGCGCTTCGCAGAATCTACCACCGGATCGGTAACGCCACTCACTGAGAAGATCCGGCGAGAAACTCAGTGGGCTGTGTCTGTGAGTTAATTTACTCGTCGCACGAGAACGGTGACCGGGGGATATGAGACTGAAATCTCAGTCGTACTGTTCAATTTCTGTACTATTTTTCAAGTAGACCGAAATAGGAAGGTCATTCTTAGTCATACAGGCTCACCAGTCACTCAGTGCTGGTTTGCGTTCTCACTATGTTGGTACAATTCTTAGAGAGAGTAGCTGCCTATTGTCCAACAAATAGATAGCTTATCTCGCAACGTCCTGTCCTTAAAAAAGATGTGTGATGTCGTGGGACACCGGATAGGTACGAAGTTCCTTAATATAAAAATATTCATTTTAAGTTCTATTCTAAGTATAAAGAAACTAAAAATGGAGGTTTCGCAACAACCCACTGTCATTCGGTAACGTGTAAACTTATTGTGGTACACTTCATTCACGGTTGTTTGCATAAGAGTTGGTGTATTGCGCAAACGAACGCTCTGAGATCGTGGTCAATGAATGATAAAAAAATATGTTATTTTTTGTATGCTATTACAAAGTTAAGTCGTACACTGTGTGCGTTACTAATATAAGTCTTACGTTACGGACGTTTTTTCCCAGCTAGGGTACCCCTCCGCATAGTCCCATAAGGAACTTCGTTCCAAAAGCTAGACTTTGATAGTGTTTTCATTAGGATCAGGTTTGACAGTTCTCAGAGTTAGGTAGTGGTTAGTGCTGGTCATTCAAATTATCAAAGAACACGTGTTAGGCGAACCGTCAGGCAATTTAAAACAAACCTGACATGCTTCAAAATTCCTCGATTCATTAGCACATTTATTACAGTTCTCATATGTTCAGGTCTTTTTTGAATTTCACAAACTTTTTGTGAACGTCTCGATTATGTGTTTCCTTAATTATTAAAAAAAGGTAAGTAATAATGACCAGTAATAAAATCAAATAATTAAAAGAAACGAACTAAAAACTCTACGGTTTTATTAACGCGTTCGTATGGTGTTACCTATTATCTTACAATTTCCGTCGTTGCAAAAACGTTGCATTTTCGTGGTCAAGAATGATTTAACAATCGCGTATTAACTGCACAGAGATACGGTACGAAACTAAGGTTGGGTTTACACGGTATTGTCCTGCACGTTTTCTTTATATTCGTTACTAGCGACCCGCCCTCGCTTCGCTTCGGAAACATTAAAACACACAGGAAACCAAAAAAAAAATATTAAAAAAAAAATTTAAAAAAGTAGCCTATGTTCATCAGGGAGAATGTCGGCTTCTAATGGAAAAATAATTTTTTAAATCGGTCCAGTAGTTTCGGAGCCTATTCGAAACAAACAAACAAACAAATCTTTCCTCTTTATAATATTAGTATAGATTTTAACGTACAATCACCCGGGTAGATTTTCATTCGTGTAAAAACGAAACGTGTGAACGAGACAGAGCTATACTACGAGTACACCACTGCAACGTTGCACCCTCAGACACAGCCCACTGATTTTCTCGCCGGATCTTCTCATCAGTGGGTCGCGTTTCCGATCCGGTGGTAGATTCTGCGAAGCACGGGTCTTGCTAGGGTTCGTGTTAGCAATGTCGTCAGGTTTGAGCCCCGTGAGTTCACCTACTAGTTAAGGTTACGCTGAAATAGCCTCTCAAGACTATCAGCTTAGGTAGGAATAAAAAAAAAGCAACGTTATAGGTAATTCATTGGATTTTGACAAGTCCGTTGAGTATTCGTTTAAACGCATAAGCGGTTTACGATTTTTTGCAGTACAAACGATATGTGAATGGTTCTATATTGTACAATCATGTATGTGCCACTATTCATTAGTTAAGCCATATACAATAAACGTGTAGAACAATACCGTGTGAACATAACCTAACGGTGTACAGATGTCTGGCTGTTTCTATTTGGCATTTCAAATTCGATATAAAAAAGGCGTCAGGAAACAAATCTAATCTAGCAAAAGTCTAATATGTCTACAACTCACACAACTAATTAATTAAAGGACCCGTTATACTGGTCCGATCGGTACTATCGATATTTTCGTAACGAATCAATTACATTGACACTAATTGATAAACCAAAAATCGGTTTAGCAGGATTATAAATGACCTGGAAGCTGCTTTGAAATAAAACGACTTATATGTACACACGTCCATCCATTTTAGGAGCCACAATGTCACATTAAATCTTATATTTTTTGCGACGAATCGCTAAACCATACAATATTGTTAGTTAATTGGTTTGTTTATTAATTAATTGTTGTTTAAATTGTAGGTATGCGCAATAAATGTTATTTACTAATCCAGTTTTGTCGTTTGAAACAAGAACATGATATGCAACACTTTTCTGTAATAATAAATTTGTAATATTAAAATGATATTCAAAACTTTAAAAGTCGGCATTGATTTTATTTTTTAATTCACACACGGTCGTCTAGTCCCGAACTAGGATTCCTTTTAGTATGGGAATTAGAGATTGAGATACACTTTTCTTTATTGCTTACATGTGTGGACTAGCACATAGGTGTTGGTGCTAAGTGGTTACCGGGCCCAAAGGCCCCAGTAACCACTTAGCACCTACAACGTAATCATCTACAACGTAAATGCCACCACCCACCTTGAGATACGAGTTCTAAGGTCTCAGTATAGTTACAACGGCTGCCCTACCCTTCAAGCCGATACGCATTACTGCTTCACGGCAGAAATAGGCGGGGTGGTGTTATCTACCCGTGCGGATTCACAAGAGGTCCTACCACCAGTAATTACGCAAATTAGAGTTTTGTGGGTTTCATTTTTATTACATGGTGTTATTTCTTCATCGTGGAAGTTAATCGTGAACATTTGTTAAGTACGTATTTCATCAGAAAAATTCTGCGGGATTAAAACACCAGTGTATCGCTTGATACGAATGCACCGGACGCCTTATCCTTTAGGCCATGACGACTTCAAGAAGCAAACTTGTTCATAATACGAACTTTGGCTTGAAGCGAGAATCGAACCTACAACTCAGTTCAGCAGTTAGAGGCGTTACCTGAAAATCATGAAAAGGTACAATAAAAACTATAAATAACCTTTCCGCGTATCGCAGATATAAGTAATTTTTTCCCTACCTAAGCTGATATCCTTGAGAGGCTATGTCAGCATAACCTAACAATTAGGTGAGCTCACGAGGCTCCGACAGCGCCTACTTCTCGTCCTCTAATTTCCCCTCTGCGGCCATTTCGAGGATGCAGAGGCTGTTGGACCTACTGCCCCAGTGGCTGGACCGATGGAGGGTCGCGGTCAACGTGGGGAAGACCGCGGCTATCCTCTTCGGTCCGGTCCGCACAAGAGCCGTCCCAGGACAGCTCAGTCTCCGTGGAGTCAATGTCGAGTTTAGNTTTTGATACACAACTGCATTCGTTTTTACACCTTTCTCACAAAAATGTACCTCTGTTAAGCCCCAATAAGAAACTCCCAACCATACCATGAGCGAGGATGGAAAATGACCTCGTTGGACACGCGGAATACGGTTGCTCGCTTCTTCACTACTGTGTGCGTACACCTTATCATTTTGTTTGTTGCAGCTCTCTTCTACGGTAAAAAATTTTTCATCCGAAAAAAGAATTTCCCGATATATTTTTTTCCCGCGTACCGCTTCAACAAAGCGCGGCATCTCTTCAGTCTCAGGTCCATTAGATGAGCATTCAAACGATGTCCTGTTTTTCTTCGATATGCCCGAAGCCCTAAGTCTTCATTTAACACCCTTTTCACCGTGGTTCTGCTTAACCCCATCTGAAGGGCCAACAGTTTCTGCTTACGTTTAGGATTTATTTGAATTCGC